TGTGCTTGCCAGACAGACAGAGACAGACATAGAGACAGAAAGCGAGAAATCACCCCCCAGGGGGGATGGTCACGCCACAATCCCTTCTCCTCCATTCTCCTCTCGGGATCTTGGGCACACACACACACGCGCCAGGTGTGAGTTTTAAGCCACCAGGTCTGGGACGCGAACCGCGGTCGACTACGTGGGAGTCCAGCAACATAGCCATTATGCTAACTGCTGGTTCCCACCTTTCTCTTTTTTTGTATTTTCCATTTTTGTATTTCTCTGTTGGAAATCCAAACCTAGCTATGGAAACCTAGTGTAAAGAAGATGAAGGGGCAGTGTTAGGGAATGCAGTAGTGGAAGTGCCACAGGCAAATGAACTACTGTTGGGCATGTTACTCTTGTGCAACCCTGCAGTATAACGTGTGTTTTCCATTTAGTAAAGAATGTTCCTCAATTGATTTCTTGCCGAAATTCAGAAAATTATTTGTATTTTAGAGCAGAACATACAATATATAACAAATAATCTCAGTCTCTATCAGGATGTATAGGGTACAGTTTCATAAATTACATAGAATGAATGGAAAGAGCCTGAAGATAATAAATTTCAGTTTTGAAATTTGATATTAACCATGTGGAATGGTCCCATCTAAGGTGACATTATTTTAATTGTAAAAAATCTAGAAGAAATTTCATGCAACTCTTGGAAGTTAGTCCAGAAGCTATCTCCAAAGATAGTAGCTGTTCACTTATTTTTCCCCTTAATGTTTATTTTGCTTTGATGAAATTGTGGTTGATTTATTTTAGCAGCTAAAATTATGAATTAGGTATTGAAGTGTATATTTAACTAGAAAATATAAATACATGTTTCAGAAGATGCTTTAGTGGTGTTAATTAGCAATAACTGATCTTTTTGTTAATGGGAGAAAAAATGAGTTGACAATGGTAGTTCATTCATTTTTGTTTGTGGCATTGCATTAAATATTTTACGTATGCCCAGTGTTGAAGTTTTTGATTGCCAATATAGTTTTGCTCAACAACCTATTTGCCAAAGCAGACAACTATGATAGTAGGGCTACAGTGGTGATGAGCTAGCATTCAGGAAGAGAGGCAGACAGATACTCTGCTGGCATTCTGGCCTAACGCTGGGCTAGATTTCCACACTGATTGATGTTATCATTATTGGCACAGCTGAGTGTGAACAGAAGATCCACAGCCCAAGTGGCCTCATCACCAGTCCCAACTGGCCAGACAAGTACCCAAGCAGGAAGGAATGCACGTGGGAAATCAGCGCCACTCCAGGCCACCGAATAAAATTAGTAAGTGAGCACCTCCTTCTTTTTATTAAGCTGAATGCCCATGGCTTTCATGCCCAGCACCCTGAAGTAAATGAATGTTTATTTAATTGAATGAAATCAGTAGGCAGCTGGAAAAGATTTTCTCTTTCTCATGTTTTCTAGTTACACTAAACAAATTCAAGATTACCTAGATTAAGATAGCTATGCTGTTCCCCTCTGGGGTTCTTGTCCTGGATACTTTAAAAGACATTACCAGGTCCAGCCTGTGTGGTACAGTCACTGGCATACTGAACTGCAGTGTTATTAGCTACATGGCCAACTGTGGGTTTGGATACCTTGCCAAGTTAACCTGAAGTGCACTGGGCACACGCTCCTGTGCCCCAAATCCTGATGAGCTGGAGGGTTGAGTGGAGTGGAAGATTAAAAGACTGGACTCCCACATGACCAACCATGGTTCCAGTCCCAGACCTGGTAACTCTCTCTCTTTCTGGTCAAACTGAAGTGAAAAAATGATCTCTCTCTCTCTCTTTCTGGTCAAACTGAAGTATAATAATGGAATTAAGAATTCTTTTGAATAGAATTTCTTGTTTGGACCCTTCCCTTTGGTGATTTTTTTTTTTTTTGAGAGAAATAATGAAACCTTACTTGTGGGCCACTTGGTGGAATGGTAGATGATTAAAGTGGCTGGATCCCACTTGGCCAACTATGCAGATGAAACCCATACCCAGAGCCATGGAAAACACTCTAGGCACATGTATTTGCATGCCTAAAATTCTGAGAGGAAAATAGAGAAGAAAGGATTGGGACATGGCCATCTTCCCAGAAGGGCTTTCTCATTTTCTCTTTCTCTCTCTCTCTCTGGAGAGTGCTTGCACCCTGTAGCAAATTAATAGAAAGAAAGGAACCTTATCATATAAGGCATCATAATACTATTGAGACACTAGAATAAACCTTCATACTCTTAATATGGAGTTCCTTTCAAGCACCGTATTTATAAGTGACTTTTCATACAGAAACATCAGTCACTCTGTTGAAGGATTCTGGATGCTTATATGACAGCACTGTGGAAACTATAATAGATTGCACCTCAGTCCTGTCCAAGGTCCTGATTGGGAGAATAACTCATTGAGAGACTGTATTCTTTTCAGCAATGCAACTAGAGTTTAGGAAAATATATTTTCCTAATGGCATTTGTTTATGAAGGCCTAAATTTTGTCTAGTATCATATTTCATCCCTCTGAAGAACTTCCTTTTATATTTTGTGTAAATATATACATGTATCTTGAAAAATACTTTATTGCATATTGAATTCTAGGATAAAAATTTTATTTTCCTTTCTCCACTTTAATGACCCGCTTTCATTCTCTTCTGGCATTCATGATTTTATGTAATTTGGTTGTAAATAATGTTGTTACTTCTGTTTAAGTAATTATACTTTTTTCAATGTCTCACTTCAAATTTTTCTTTTAATCAGCAGTTTGAATATAATGTGCCTAGACATGTATGTGTTTATGGATCATATTATGTCTTTGTGTGACTGTGTTTAATAATTTCATGGTTTTTATTCCTCTCATATGAATTTCTTGTATCTGTATTGTGGCATCTGTCATTAATATTTGAAAATTCTCAACAATCATTTCTTTATACAATTCTTCATCATTTTTTTGGGATTTAAATGGCATATATATAGAGAGAGAGAGTGAGAAAGAGAGAAAGAAAGAAGATCTTTTTGATCATATCTCACAACTCTGGATGTTCTGTTAATGTTTTATATTAACTACAATTAGTAATAACAAAATAGAATAATTTTAACAATATACTGTAAAGAAAGTTATGTGAATATAATCTCTCAAAATACTTTCTTGTATTTACAGACTTTGGTTGAATGTGGGTAACTGAAACCACAGAAAAATAAACTTTAAATAGTGGGGGGTGATAGTAAATGTATTTTGCTTGAATTTTTTTTTCTTTTTTTGGAGAGGTTTTATTTGCTATAGGGCACGTGTGCTCACCAGACAGACAGAGATAGAGAGATAGAAAGCAAGAAATCACCCCCAAGGGGGGATGGCCATGCCGCAATCCCTCCTCCTCCATTCTCCTCTCGGGATCTTGGCACACATGCACACATGCCCAGCGTGAGTTTAAGCCACTGGGTCCAGGATTCAAACCATGGTCGACTACGTGGGAGTCCAGTGACATAGCCAGTACGCTAACTGCTGGTCCCTATTTTGCTTGAATATTTTAGGATTCTTAAATTTCATGGAATTTTACTTCAACCCAAGCTGAAATTTACAAAATGAACCCTAAAGAAATTTGAAAAAGTATAAAATCTTTTAGCTCTCTAGGCTATGTGACTAATATTAATTATTTAATATTTAATTATTAACTGGCCCCTATATGGATCAGAATAAAGGAGAACAACAAAGAAAACAGTTGGTGTCCCTATATATACAATGGAGCTTTCTTTACAGCTCATTTATTTTTATTTTATTTTTATTTAATTTTTATTTATTTATTTACATTCATTCACTGTACATCATTATAGCATACAAAATGAGATTTTTTCCATTCACAGTACACTGTATATTGGCTCAATCA